GCTAACTCAACATAATGAAAAATTTAAAAAAAATTAAAAGAAAACCCTGCCTTCCTGATGCTTGTATTAAAGTTAAAATTAACAGAAATCTTTGTATATTACCTTCTACCAAAATAAAACACATCCCTACCCTATATATATAAATTCACAGAATACAATCACTTTACATTGCCTAACTCTCCCCATGTACCCTGCCTGCATTGTCCTCACTTACTTGCACTCTCCTTCCCATCACTTTCCATCTGATATATTCCTAGGTCCTCATCTAGGAATGACCACTTGTCCCAGCTTTCTCTGACACTTCTGGTCTGATTCTTTATATCTACTGCGTACATTGTATATTCACTGTTGGTATTAAAGTACATATCACATTAAAAAAATAAAATAAACAATTTTAAACTTCTGATCATATTAGTATATAAAAATGCAATAGGTCTTTTTAATGGTACCCTGTATTCTTACTAAACTCATTTTAGTTCTATTGGTGTTTTTGTAGATTCCATGGGATTTTCTTAATAGACAATTATAGTATCTTCATATAATGATAGTTTTACTTCTTTGTCCCCAATCTGAATATTTTTTATTTTTCTTTCCTCATTATACTGGCTAGAACCTGCCATATAAAGTTGAATAGAAGTGTGGAGAGAAGACATCCTTGTCTTATTGCTGATTTTAGGAACGAAACATTCAGTCTTTCACCATGACAAGTTTTATGAGTTTGATGTTTCCACCTTTTCATTTCTGCCTTGAATACCCTTCTTTTTCTGGGCTGAGGAAAAACAATTTTGAAAGTTTTAGTAACACTAAACTAGGACACCGTGATTATACTAGATATTAATATTCTTAGTACTCATTATTCAAATATTTAATTGCATACTTTTTAAAATAAGAGGTTGGAATTTAACATTTTCTTATTAATAAGGAAATTGCTTTAAGCAGTACAAATTGCTATTGGAAATCTCTTTTGGGTTAATGTGAACTTCAGGGTATATAAGGTATGTTTCTAAATAAAAATATATTTTATAAATCTGTTTATTCACTGCTTGTGTGTGTATGTGTGTTTATAGTAATTTCACAAGTGCTGGAAGAAATACCTTCCCTATATATTCTTAATTTATTCTCAATAGTCAGTATTTTATGACCACAAAGGACTACTGTGGTGATTTTTACAAATATTATTTTCTTACTAATATAAAAGTAATATGTCTTCACTATAAAAAATGTTTGGGAAATTCACAAAAGTGCAAAGAAAATAAAAATTACTGCCAAATTTATATTCTACCAAAATATCTTTTAACATTTTAATGTATATGCTTTCATAATTACACATATCTACACATAATTATGTATACGAAAACACACATACACATATACTTCTTAATTTGGTATTGTGCTGTATAGAAAACTTTAGATATTAACTTCTACTTTTAGCTATGATGAATTAGCTGTATCATACAAACTCTCCTGTTATAAGCTACCATAAAAATTGAGGAACAAAACTGACAGCCGTTTGAAGACACTGGAGAACAATCAAGAAAGCCAGGATTTAAGGGACCAGATTGAAGTAGAGAGAGGGAGAAGGGTAGGAAATGCAGAAAAGAGCATGAAGATCTAACACACATGTAATTGGAGTCCCAGTAGGAGGGAAGAAAGAGAAGGGGACAAGCAGTAACTTGAAGAAAGAATGCTAAGGATTTTCCAAAATTGAATACAAAAAAAGATCAAGTTACAGATTTAGAAACCCTAAAAATCCAAACCTACATAAATGGAAAGAAAATCACTCCTAGCTCATCTTATTTGCCTGCCAAAAGACATAATTTAAGAAGAGTTATAGAAAAAAGGAAAAATACCTTCAAAAAAGCTATAGTAAGACTGGAAACCACTTTTCCAATAGAAACAATGGAGGCAAAAAGAAAATGGAATGTCATTTAAACTGCTGAAATAAAAATACTGAAAATCTAGAATTTTGTATCCAATTTTTATTTCAACCATTTGAATAAAGGAATGTAGGAGTGGGAAACTGAATAATGAAACAATAAATCTTAATCCAGAAAAACATAAGAGAGGGAAAAAAGGGTGAAAACAAGATATGAAAAACAGAGAACAAAGAATACCAAAGTAGGTATACCCTAATATTATCTATGACTACATTAAATACATTATGAGCTAAATACTCCAACTCAAAGACAAATATTGTCAGATTGGATCAAAAAAACCTGTATCATGTTTACATGGGACATGCTTTAAACATAAGGACAAAGAGAAGTTTAAAGTAAAAAGATTTAAGAAAGGATATTCCATGATAATATTAAGAGAAATAGCTTTAATAATACCAAACAAAAGAGACTACATACAAGTAGTAACCCAGTTAAAGAAGGATATTTTATAATGAGAAAAGAGTTCAGTCCACAAAAAAAATAATAATCTTAAATTTGTGTGCATCTATTAAAACACCATCAAATTATGCAATAAAAAATTAACAAATTTAAAAAAATAGAGAAATCTGTAATTATTGATTGGTATTTTTTAACAATATCTCTCAGTAACTCATAAAACAATCAGATAAAGATACCAATAGAGAGAGAGGATTTAAGGAACATAATAGTAAATTTGACTAGTTGACATAACCTAGAGTTTGGCACCCAACAAATACCGAACACACATTATTTTCAAGTATACATGAACTAATTAGAAAAATAACTACTGTAGGGCAGTGTTTCAACAAATACCAATGAATTGAAATCATATTGAGTATGTATTCTGTTCACAGTGTAATTAAGCATTAAGCTAGAAATCAATAATTTAAAAACCTGGAAAATCTCCAAATATTTGAAAACTAAGCAACTATATAACTATATACATATATATGTGTGCATACACATACATACATACCCACAGATATACATCCATGTTTATCTGTATGTATTATATATACATTTTATATATTTTATGTATAAGCTTTCTTTTTTGTTTCACTTAACATTATATGATGCTTTCTCACATATTTTACCTCATGGACATAGCCTGACTTTCCTGTCATTTTCTTTATACAAAGTGCGAAACTGCAAGGGAGCCGATTTATGCAGATCCCAGTAAAAAGAGAAAGAGTGGGTAAAGAAAAGCATTTGTATTTCTGCCCCCAGAGGCTTCTTCTACTGGCTACTTCCAGTCTCCTTCTGAGTATCTTAGGACCACTGCTCTAAAAATGCTTCATAAAGGACCAAAAAATGCACTTTATTTGGACTTTTGCCTGCTTTTGTGGGAAAGAAATTTGTTTGAGGGAAGTAGATTAGAATCCTGTGTTTTAATTTGCTGCTCTCCCAAAGGGAAGGTGGAGGAAGAAAATAGGAACTGAAGAGAACCAATATTGAGTTAATTTCATTCTGTCCTCAAAGGTGAGGTGGCTTCGGTGAGTTCCCCTTTCTGTAGAGGAAGGACTCCGGCTCTGCCAGATGGGAAGATTGCAGCCCAGATCTGCCCCATATCTGCCCTGCTCTGCCTCGCTTGGCCACTGCTACCACTGCAGAGTAGTTCTCTTACTGGGAGAATCAGGAATTTGTGTATAAGACTCAGGGCAGTGTGTTGAACAACCTGAACATTTTACACAATATGCATTAAGTCGTAGTACACTAAAAGGCTTTCAGAAGCAGTTTGTCTTGGTTAATAATCATTATTTATATGTATATTTATAAAGACTAAAGTATCTCAAATTGAACACCATTATTTGTTATTAACGGTTTTATAATCCTGAGAAGAACAGAGTATTAGAAAACGGGTGATTTCCATTTTTAAAATTACATTCACTTCTCCCTTCTGTATAGCTATGTAGAATAAATGTAACTTAAAATTTAAAATTACATTAGCCCATTTGGGCTATGGTGTTTTAAAAAATAGAATGGGAGGGGCGCCTGGGTGGCTGAGTGGTTGAGCGTCTGCCTTCGGCTCAGGTCATGATCCCAGGTTCCTGGGATCGAGCTCCACGACCCGCTTCCTGCTCAGCAGAGAGCCTGCCTCTCCCCTTCCCCCTGCCTGCCCCCCTGCCTGCCGCTCTACCTACTTGTGCTCTCTGTCTCTCTCTCTGTCAAATAAATAAATTAATTAATTAAAAAAAAAAAAGAATGGGAGCCTCAACTACATTGCGCTATTAAAAGAGACCACCACCAATACCCCTATTTTGCTTCTCTTAAATTTAATTCTTAACAGGAGAGCTTTTTATAAATTCAAATGGAGTGACGTTCATATGGAAGGAAAAAAGGATTTATGAGTAATGCGGTTCTCTGTCCCATCTCTGGGTGGGGGTGGTGGGGGAGGCGGTCGGGTCAGCGGAGAACAGTTGCGGCTGCGCCATTCCTAAGCTTCCAGGCGCGTAGGCTGGACCCGCGGAGACGCAAACTGCCGCCTAGGGCAGAAGCAGGAAGGGGGACTTTCGGCTGGCTGCCGCCGCAGCGGTCCCCGCAGCCGGCGGCCTCCTCTCCTGACCGCTCCAGAAAAGGAGCCCCTTCCCTGGACCAGCTAGGTGAGAGAGAGACTGCTACTGAACTTGCTACTAGGGAGGGACCACCGAACCAAGGGAGACCCTTGTCGGCCAGGGGCGTCTTAAAGAAGAGGACACGGGTTTGTAGTTTTCCTATAAAGGGTAAGGACTCTTTTTCTCTGTAGCACATTGTTCGATGTATTCATCTGGTTAGAGTAAGATTTCAACAGGTAGCAGAGAACGATCACGTGGGGGCAGATTTGGGGCGCCGCGCCACCCCTCCCCACCCCTCGGACCCGCACCTCTGGATATAGTTGCACGTCGATCATCGTAACCCGTGCTTTCAATTCTGTTTTGCAGCCCGGGAGTGCGCGGCGACGGTGGGCTAAAAAGAACGAGCCTCCCGCGGAGAAGTCACAGAAGGACTTGGAGCGCAGGTCAGCGCAGACGCCGGCTGGGGAAACTGCGAGCCTCGCAGGGCGTTGGTGGAGGAAACGTGGTCGCCGGCCCCACTGCCCTCGCCGACATGCACAACGCGTCATTCTCGGAGCTAGGGCCCGCCAACACGTCGTGCTTGGGCCCTGCGCTGGGCTGCCCCAACGCGTCGAGCCCGCCGCCGCCGCCGCTGCCACTGCCGCCGCCGCTGGCGGTGGCAGTGCCCGTCGTCTACGCGGTGATCTGCGCAGTGGGGCTGGCTGGCAACTCCGCCGTGCTGTACGTGCTGCTGCGGGCGCCCCGCATGAAGACCGTCACCAACCTGTTTATCCTCAACCTGGCTATCGCCGACGAGCTCTTCACGCTTGTGCTGCCCATCAACATCGCTGACTTCTTGCTGCAGCAATGGCCCTTCGGGGAGCTCATGTGCAAGCTCATCGTGGCCATCGACCAGTACAACACGTTCTCCAGCCTTTACTTCCTCACGGTCATGAGCGCCGACCGCTACCTGGTAGTGCTGGCCACAGCCGAGTCGCGCCGGGTGGCTGGCCGCACGTATAGCGCCGCACGCGCCGTGAGCCTGGCCGTGTGGGGGCTCGTGACACTGGTCGTGCTGCCCTTCGCGGTCTTCGCCCGGCTCGACGACGAGCAGGGCCGGCGCCAGTGCGTGCTGGTCTTCCCGCAGCCGGAAGCCTTCTGGTGGCGGGCGAGCCGCCTCTACACGCTTGTGCTCGGCTTCGCCATCCCGGTGTCCACCATCTGCGTCCTCTACAGCATCCTGCTGTGCCGGCTGCGCGCCATACGGCTGGACAGCAACGCCAAGGCTCTGGACCGCGCTAAGAAGCGGGTGACTCTCTTGGTGGTGGCGATCCTGGCCGTGTGCCTCCTCTGCTGGACGCCCTACCACCTGAGCACCGTGGTGGCGCTCACCACTGACCTCCCGCAAACGCCGCTTGTCATCGCGCTCTCCTACTTCATCACCAGCCTGAGCTACGCCAACAGCTGCCTCAACCCCTTTCTCTACGCCTTCCTAGACGACAGCTTCCGCAGGAGCCTCCGCCAGCTGCTGGCCTGCCGCGCTGCCGCCTGACATCCTCCCGCCCCCCCTCCGCGCGCCCTGCGCCCCAGTCCTGCCCGCTCCAGCCCCGGCGGGTGCAGAGGGAGCGGGCGCCCGCGGCGCTCTGGAGGCTTCCCTGAGCTGCAGTCTCCTGTCCCCAACCCCGAAAACTTGCTAAAGATGCAGATTCTTGGGCTCCGGTTCAGACATAGGGAATCGGACGCGCTAGGGCTGCGCCCTCAATTTGAATTTGCCAAGCCCTCCAGATGATGCAAGAGCACACTAAGTATAAGGACTGTTGAGTCTGAGAACCCAGGCGGAACTCTCCCTAATGCCAAAGGGCACCGAGTTGACCCCCGACTTTGACAGGGGAGGGCAGGAAGAGGGGAGGAGGGCGGCAGTGGTCCTGGGAACCCCCTGCCGGTTCCCCCCCCCCCCCCACACCCGCCCAGAGCTTTCGCGACCCAGGCTCTAGGTGGAGCCCTCGGCGCTATCCCGGAATGCGGGGAGGCGGGGGTGGGGGTGGCGTCTAGAAGAGGCTCGAGGATACCCCCAGGCGTCGGCTCCGCGCTCGCCCTGCACCTTGCTACTTCGGTTTCCGGCAGCGACTGCCCGCGCTTTTGCTCAAAACTGGCGAGCAGCCTGGTCAGGACCTTTAGTCCCTCTCCGCTCGTCCTAATCGCTGGGGAAAAGGGTCAAGGCTCCTGGGTTCGGCGCCCAGCGCTCTAAGGTGCAGGGGGTCTCGTGGAGCGCGCGGGAGTGTATGTGCATGCGTGTGTATCTAGCGGGATTGGGTGAAGGTGGTTGGAGCTTGGCTGTGACTACCTACAATGGTGATGAGAACAGTGATAATCCCCCCTTCCTGTTTTAGCTCCTTTTCTCTCTGCTTTTCCTTTTCCCTACTACTACTTTTTGTTGAAAATGCTCCACCACTCTCAGACTTTGGGGGAACCCGGCTCGCCCTGCTGGGAAAGGCCTGGAACCGGGAGTCTCCCAGGCGCGCGGTTGTGGCGCCCCCTTGCGGGGCCTGCTGCCCGACCCCGAGCCTCCGAAAATAGAGCTCTGCACATGCTAAATGGCAACTTTACACCTCTGGGTTACCAGTCCTCGCCGCTTTCCACAATTGACCAGTACTGCTATGTCCCTTTGCCCCAGGTGACCTCTCATACCGCTTGGACCAGTTCGTTGCAAATCTTCGTGCATTGTTTTTCGGACTGAGAACTTTATAAATATATATATGTCCTAATCTCACAAGTTTCTGTGAGGACCACATGAAATTAAAAAGTGAAATGTGTATCCGTTCCTTCTATCCCTTTCTCCTCATATTCGTCATCCCTTTCGCCTGAAGGAGAGCCAGGAAGCTGAAATGACTGACATCTTCATATTTTCCTCTATTGGGTTCCTTTCCACAGGAAGCTATTCCTTAGTGCTAGTCAGGTGAATCTGGTAAATAATCTAGTTTTGTAATCACAAGGGAGCCCGGCCAGCACCCTATCTTTATTTTTATCTTCACTTAAGGGAGACAAAAATGGATTAAGAGAGGACTGAGGCTTAGGTTTACCCAACCATCTGCAGTTTACACCTCAGACATGAGAGCAGAGCCTTAACCAGACTATAGCCCTTGATTAGTGTTTCAAAGGGTTAGTTTTTCTTTGGGATTAATTCCAAACAGGAATGAAAATTTATAGAAATACTTGTTTCTTATAGTGCAGTGTTAGGTGTGAAAAAGAGTGTGAGTGTTCCTGGAAGGTTTTGCTTGCTTTGTTTGATGTGCATGACTCAATTTCTCAATTATTTAGGTACAAAATATCTTTTAAAGTCTATAGAAGGAACTGAATGGAGCACCGGGTGTTATACGCAAACAATGAATCATGGCACACTACATCAAAAACTAATGATGTAATGTATGATGATTAACATAACATAATAAAATAAAAAAATAAAAAAATAAAAAATAAAAATAAAGTCTATAGAAGGGAAAAAGTCTCCTTTGGGTGGGAGAAAGCAAACTCCCTTTCTGATTTTAGTGAATGAGAATTGATTCCTTAGCCCTCAGAGTTATTAGTAACAGTAATTCATAGCTATCAGTTAAAAAAGTGTAAATTTAGAAACCTTCTACCTCTAGTAATCAATAATAGTAAATTGTCCAAAATACAGGTTTGTTTTTTTATGTCTCCATTGCATTTTGAATGTTATACCTTTGAGCAGTCCTTTGCTGGTGGTCTTCAGAGACCTCTTGGAATTCATTGCAGTATCTTTCAAATTTCTTGGAAACATTTTATTGATTTTCTTTATGATTCACAAAATTCTTTTATGAATCAGTACTTTTTTTAAAATTAAAGTTTTAAGCTTAGAGTAACTGCCACATTATCTAAGGTGATGGACAAAGAGTCAAGTGGATATTTGGCCACAAACACAGCCAGTTGCAATCATGTGGATTTGAAACCTCATCTGTTTTCATAAACCGATAGCTGTACTTTGATATTCTCTGGACACAGAGTAAGGGACAGCTGAGTGATCCATCTGTCTACTGTGTCATCCTGGCCACAGATTCACCTGGGGGCTGTCTCAGAATCTTGGAGAGGACTGTTGGAAAAGATGGACTGACATCACTGTGTTGGCTACAGCGAGGCATGGGTAGGGGTCCTAGTATGGTATGTGGGGGATTAGGACTCAGTTCAGTTTCACCCCGGCTTTCTAAGTCATTGGATAAACTATTGTGTCGTCATTTCTAGGTTGTTGCCTTCATATTAGCATGTAGAAATCCAAACTGTATGTTTCAGACTTCCTTTTTATGCCTTAGGTACTAGGTAGAATAAAAAACAGCCATGTACAAATAGATTTTACTTACATCATTCTATTGCAAATGATGTCTTAACTCTGTGTGGAATTCTTGCAGTCTTTGTGTAAACTATGTTGTTTGGTTATACCATTTCTGATGTTTAAAAATGTTTATTTGGTTTTAGTTATCTTTTACTAAGATATGTAACTACTTTACTAGTTATGTAATGTGTGTGTTTCATCTTTCGCTTGAGAAATGCAAACATGCTGCTAGTCCATACTGAGAGAAGCTCAGTTTAAAATAAAAGCTGAAACATTCTGGGGAAAAAAGCTGAAGTGTTCTGTGTGATAAGTGAATATTTTATTGCTTGAGAACATGGGATCCATAATTTAGTCACCTTAGTGCCTTTGAGGAAAAGTTATCTCATGGGTAAGCAGTGAATAAATAGAAGTATTGGACAGGGAAAGATTAAGAATGAACTCCCCCCCCATTTATTTTAGTTGAGTGTGAATATGGTGTCTAACTGCTGATTAGCACAAAAACTCTGCGACATATGCCGGCAGAAAAAGCATGATAAGCTTTTATCATATAATCACAAACCTCGTTTGTTTAATATTTGAGCAACTTATATAGAGAGTGAGATGGGAGAGAAATTGCTTATGTTATTAGCACACCGTTACTATTTCAGTTAACAGTAAGCACAGACATGGCTCACATGTGTGTAAGGTGAAGGGGGCTAACCAGAAAACCTCTCGCATTTAGGGAAAGCTTTCATGGGTGACTTGGTTGAGCATCTGCCTTCAGCTCAGGTCACAATCCCAGAGTCCTGGGGTCGAACCCCACATGGGGCCCTGTCTTGGCAGAAAGCCTGCTTCTCCCTCTCCCTCTGCGCCACTTCCCCAGCTTGTGCTCTCTCTCTCTGTCAAATAAATAAATAAATAAATAAATAAATAAATAAATAAATAAATAAAAAAAATCTTTAAAAAAAAAGAAAGAGAGAGAGAGAAAGCTTCCCTTCCCTCAGTAACAGGCTTGAAAAACAAGAAACAATATTCCACCATGGATGGCACTCATCTATGCTTATCTAGAATAAGGAAGGAATCAGAGAATGCTTCACATAGTGGTCTTTTACTAGGATAGCTTTGGGTCTGGCATTTTAGTCCCATTTTATATAGAGTAAAACTGAGATGCAAGGAATTGGGTCCATTTGGCCAGGCACACAAAGACTAATCAAGACCAATCAGAGCCATCTGTTTCCTCTTTTAGGCATTGTCTCATCCTGTTCCAGCAGAGATGAAATTGGTTGCAATGTGTAATTCAGAATTATTAGACCATAGAAAACATCGATGTCTTTGAAATATTTAATGGATTAAACAAGATATACCTACTATTTCATCATGTGATACAAAGGGAGGTTAAGGGATAAGATTTACTAATAGAACTTCAATCCTAATTCAGAATCTTGAAGGTGCATGGTGCTGCTTAAAGGTTATATAAGAATAAAAATTTCTGGACCAGGGCTGGCTGCATTCTTCCCTCAACTGATTGTAATCTGCATGCTTTATACATATGGACTTGTGCTCTAGGATGCACCATTTATGAAAAATAGAATGTCAATAGTACTTCTGTTTATATAGAATAGAGTTTTGCAATGGATGACACTGTCCTTCAGTTTAGGGCAAGGTGCATTTATTTATTTATATCATATCTTATAAGGTTACATGAAAATATATCACATCAATTTAAAAAATGGGGAAAGGGAACAAAACTTAAAATGACATCTCTGAGAAACTGTTAAAATGGATGAACTGCATGCTTCCCACAATCCAGCACAGGCTTTCTCTTTTGACAAATACCTACTGGCAGCAAGAGTAGTTTGCATTCCCAGCAAATGCCTCAAATGCCATCTTTGACCAGATGTCCCATTGCACCATGGCCTGGGGAGTCAGCTCAGCATGTTTTTGTGCACAAAGCATCTTTTTCTCTCTAACAAAGACTGGGTGATCAGCAGAGGTGTTCAGGTGTTTTTGTTTTTGTTTTTTTTGTTTTGTTTTGTTTTTGAACGGTATCTCCCGTTCTCCCACCCACCTCCCCTCTGGCAGCCAACAGTTTGTTCTCTATATTTAAGAGTCTGGTTTTATGTTTGCCTCTTTTTTCTTTGTTTCTTAAATTCTACATATGAGTGAAATCACATGGTATTTGTCTTTCTCGGACTGACTTATTTCACTTAGCATTATACCCTCATGTTGTT